TATTTTTAAAGCTGTTACAGGTGCAAGCAAAAAAGAGCAAAGAACAAGGGGAAAGGGAAAAAGCAACATAAAAAAAACCAAGGCTTAACATGACCCAGCAACATCACCAGTAACCATGGGTGGATCCAGGATTTTGGAAAGCAGGGTGCAGGAGTGACAGCTTGTGCTGCTGGGGTGGCTGCACCCCAAGTCCCAGTTTCTTCTCCCCCTCCCCACCAATCAGGGCAGGCAAGCAGGCAGACTGCACCACAGGAGCAGCAGGGGGGGATTTTTAAGTCCTTCAAGTACGTAAAGAATCTTCCCTCTCCCCTTCCACCCCTATGCTCAGCTGTACATTCCCCATGTACTTCAGAGCCACTCCTGTCCAGCTCTAGCCAAGCTGCATGTGGAGGCAGGCAGAGCTAGAGAGTGCAGCAGCAGTAGGCAGGTTCCTTCCCCCCCATCCCCAACACCTTGTTCCTGGGCTGGAAGCAAACATAAAACACATCGGGAACTGGGCAGGAAGAAGGGACCCACCTGCTGCTGCTGTCCCTGGCTGAGCCCAGCTCCCCAAGGTACTCAGCTGCAGCGGGCAGGCACAGCTCTGGAGATTCCTCCCTCCCCACCCCTGTGACAGCAGCAGCAGCAGGCAGGGGAGGGAAATGTGCCCAAATGCCTGATTTTTAAATTTTCAAAGGCTGGCAATACCCTACTACTGCCTAGCACTGTGTTTATATATACCAAATTTACAGATAAACGTACCTAGCTAAGAGGTAAACATTAATCTTACCTGCACCTTGAAAAATATTTCATAAGCACTGGTTGCATCAGGTGGATCACTGCATATTATGTGTTTGGACAATACAAGGGGGCCCACTAAGAAACTAGTGACAAAAGATGCAAACTGGGATAAATTTTAGTTGTTTCTCTCTCAAGTAAAAAAACAAACAAAAACTCAGAATCAGCAGTAATTCTACAGAGACTACAAAAATTTGAATTTAAAGTACCAGATTAAAAAAAAACCTCTTGAAAATATAAAATTCAGCTCCAAACACAAAAATATTGAAATAAAACAACATATTTATTGTACAATTTATTGTAATTCGAATATACTGTTCCACAACCTGATTATGAGTGTTTTGTAAATCGGGAAGATTACAGGAATACACATTAAACCATGTCAATGAGCATTACTGAAAATAAAAAAATTGCAGGAGACAGGTACCAATCAAATAATCAATATGCAGGAAACAACTACATCAGCCCACTTTATAAGTGGGAAAGAATATTGTGATTTGATTTACTTTAAGAACACACACTTGAACAGAAAAAATTTGACAGTCACTTCAAGATTCATTTCCAGTTATTTTAACAACTACAGTTTCCCACTGTAGAAATAGCATGTTATTAGTCTACTTCATCAGAGTAGACTAAAAAGCCAGCAGTAGAACAAAAACATAACTCATAAGAAACAGGAAATTATGTTAATTCTGTGCTTTCATTCTCTTAGAGGGTCACCAGCGCAATTCAACATAATCCAAGTACAATTCTGTTTCCAATCTGACCACCTGACAACTATTAATTGTGTACTTCTTGTATTTTATCTGGGAAAATTCAAACCTTTTTAAATAAAGAGTATGGCATATTAGAGAAAAACCCATTTCTGGATTTAAAAATTTTAGTAACATTTAAAATAAAACACGCTTGTTTTAAACATACACAAAATAGGTAATGCTATTTTTAGTGCATCTCAGATTAAATTACTGCCATCTACAATTAAAAGGAAAAAGCAAAATATATTCTTTTAACTGGCTTTAAAGTGCACATCTAATTTATATGCACACACACCATGCATGCACACACACAGACAGACTGATCTCACTGGTATCAGACACCACTAACTAGCCAGCTATACGAGCAGTGCAAGATTTTCTGCACTCAAGTATATCTGACAAGAATTATAAGAAGTTGTACCAGCTATTAGAACAGAAATCATATTACCCCAGTAGTAAATTACACACTTATGGCAAAATAGCTCATGAACACACACCAAATGGGTTATACTTTCATGATGCATTTGACTTGAACTTTTCTCGTTAATTTACCAGAAGTCAAACAATGCCAGTCACTAAGTTACTGAACACAACTCAAGTGCAATGAAATAGGACATTAAGAAGTATATGCTTCTCTGGGATCATCTCACCCATTGAAGTTAACTTAAGCTGGGATCATCTGAGTGCCAGCCTGGTACTGAAGTTAAATTTAGCTTCTGTAGAGATCTCACACACACACCCTGCCCCCACTCTGCACCCAAACCCTAAAAACATGTCAACTAGCCAATAACTTGCATATTTTTTTACTATTTATTACATAATTCAGTCAGCTAACTGCTAGAACAGCATCTTGCCCCTTCTCACACCTCTTACCCTTGTTTTGCCATCAAAATTAAACAAAATGTAGTCACAGTGCTGAACATCCATTACTACAGAGCAGATGCTCCCATCCATGCACCTCCACAGCAAAGACAGATTTCCTTACAAAAAAATTAAGTAATGTGGTTTTAATTGAAATTTAAAAACCATCTACCTAATATTCTAGCTGTCACTTTAGGTTATAATTAGTTGCAATATTAGATCAGACCAGTGAGGATTACACCTTCATATTAATCAATATATCCATAAATGAAACATTTACCTTGAAGAACAACATAGCTAAAGCAGAAGAGTCTGCACTAATTCAGACCATAAGAAACCAATAGCTTAAGGAATTTTCTTTTTCTGATTTTGTTAAAAATACAACCAAGCTCAAAGAAATCAAGAACTTCTTTATGCAACTCATATTTTGCTTTAAAATTATTACATCACAAGGGTGTCATACCCAAGTGTAGCTAAGCTGTTTGTAATGCTAGTAATAAATAGCATTACAATAAATTTAACATTCCATTTTTTGAAGAACTTTCTGAAAAAAAAAAAACAAACACTCAGTGCTGTTGTCAAGCTCTGGAAATCAATGAAAAATGTTATGTAGCTGGAGGTTTAAAGACTTTCTTTCATTCTGGTAACCAGCATACTGGGTACATCAGCAGACAAAGCGTGCTAAAAGTGCTCTTTGAAAAAAAAAAAAAAAATACTGTTACAGCACTCGAGATAATGCTGAAACTTTCCCAGAAAAATTGTTTTTCCAATGCCAGGTAGGGGTTGCAATACTAAAACCATAGTGTCAAATGGAAATTCAGTCTCAGGTTTCTATTGTGTCTTATATTGTATTAATAAGGGAAGAGTTCACTCACTGGCTGGTAGGGTTGTGTGAAACTTTAGCAGCTGTTCTGTTTTGGAGGCGTTTCAGCCCATTTTGGTACCCGAAACACCAAATCCAAAACGAAACAGAAAGCTCTGAAACATCTCTGAAACCAAACCAAACCACACCACCTGAAACATTTTGGAAAATTTCAGGCCTTCAAAGCTGGGCTTGCAGGGAAACAGAAACTAAGAGGAGGAAGGGGGTGGGAATGCCTCCCTTCTCATGACCCACCCCCTGCCCAGGTTGCTGCAGTGGGGGGAGGAAGGCCAGCTCGGGGACCCCGCCCCAACCTTGCACAGACCCAGGAGCCCACCCTCCCTCTGGCTTGGCTTCTGCCATGGGGCGAGGTGGCAACTGTGGAAAAAAGCCTGTGCAATAGCTGCTCTGATATTGACACCTGTAGCTGGCCAGTGTCTGCGATCTCTCCCTGAGGTCAATTCCAATCCCAGTGCTCTGGGGGAGGGATGGCCCACGCCCCCTGGGAGGAGTCTGCTACAGCCCCGCAGCCCTCCCGGGGGGCACGGGCCCCACATCTGTGGGCAGGATGACAGCATGCTGCTGCTGCCAGCAAGTGATACAAGCTTCGCTTTGAACAGTTTGAGTTGCAGTTTCACAGAAACCCCTACACCTATATCTTCTTGAAACTTGGCAGGGTTCAGCCCTTAGAATGGCCTACCATCCCTGCAATTTTCATCTGAATCAGGCAAGAAATGATAAAGTTATAGGCATTTTAGTGATCCCCATTATAGCATATGGCTGAATCACCAAAACAACATCGAATCAATATGGAATAGTGATTTGAAACATTGAAATGAATCACTGTCCCTCCAAAACAGCCAAATCTAAAACCGAATCAAAACACAGCCATTTTGCACAGCCCTACTGGCTGGGACTTGAAAAGGCCTCAGTAATGAAATGTTGCAATGTATTAAATCATATTTAGGAACCTACCTAAATTGTGGCAGAAGTTTGTGGTACAACAGCACTCCGGCTCCTGCCCCCCCGCTGAATGGCCAAGAGGCAATTAATGCTTGCTAACCATGTTAAACAGACACACTACTTGTAAATTCTTACTAAGGTAATGTCTGAACAATGAAACAAGTATTCAAATGACTATCTGTAATCAAGTAAAACTGATAAGGTCTTTTAACTTTTATTACAGTAAATGAAGTATCAAATGTTTCTATTACTATACTTTTGTGTTATCAACCCCCTAACATGTTCTGCAGTGTTCATTAAATTTAGAACTGTGTTGCACTACTAGCTAAAAACCTTCCAAGTTGCCCTTAAGAATACAGGGGATGTGGAAAGGATGTTGGTGCTAAATTTCATTCCTCTACCACCCCTTAACTTCTGTCTGCAGCCTAAAAGCATGCATATTTGTTTCACAGGAGTTGAAGGTGAATAACCAGAGCAAAAAGGTAGGTAAGAATGAGGTAGTTAAGAATAAAGCAAACTGTGACAAGAAAGACCACTCAAATACTGCAGCTACCAGCATGCCTAGCAAAATATCCAAGGAGGGATCTTTAAATACTTTTTAAAAGAGATTACCAGGCAAAAGACATATTCCAATCTAACCAATTTCCAAACCTAAGTTCAGTAAAAAGACCACCCTCATTACACAGATGTTTAAACAACTACCAGTTTCCCTTGTCAGTTCCTCAGATAAGGCAGACAATTTATAAAACAGATATTAGAGTGTGGAGGGAAAAGCTACTTACTCAAGTCTAGAACATCATCTGTTTTTATTAGATCTTCCTCCCTTGTCAGTGGTAACTGTGTTTCTGGTTCATCTCTCAGATGCAGTGACAGTGAACGCAGCATGAAGAAAACTCTAATCGCCTAAAGAAATTAAAAATAAAATATTGTTTAAAATTGCTCTGCAATTCTGAAGATATTTAAGCCTGCAGAAAAAGTATTCAGAGTCTAAAAAGAGTCTTATAAAAAACACCCAATCAATACACCTTTGGCTCTACTTAAGTGTACTCTGTCTACTGTTGAAACTCAGAAAGTATCTTAGCATAATTGTTTGTCACCACCCAGAAAGAGACACACACCAGAGGTTCTACATATAGTGGCAGAGGACAAAAGGTATGCTTCTACAGCATAGGATAATGAGGCAGGTGACATTAAGTATTTCAAATAGGGATGCAAATTAGAAAACTTTAATTTTGGTATATGGATTTCTTTTTTTTTAAATTTTAGGTGATGCACGGAAGATGAATAAAGGCAAAGTTGTGGACTGGCACTTGGAAACAGAAAATGCAGGTTCCCATATTTTGTATCAAAGACCACTAGAGTAACCAGAGATAAATGCCATTTTTTCATGAGAAAACTTCTGACTCCCTGAGCCTAATGTTTTTCATTGAAAAGTCTTAGGGTACCAATACATGTTTCATAGTTTCTAGGGTTGGAAGGGACCTGAGAAGA